TTATTTTATTTATTTTTTTTACAAAAAAAATTGTAAAAAAAATTTGTAAAAAAAATAAATAAAATAAAAATAAATAAAAACAACAATAAAAAACAAGAAACAAAAAAATAAAAAATAAAGCAGAGAACTAAAATTAAAATAAATGCTCAATAAATTAATCAACTTTTCTCTCTCTCTCTCTCTTTCTCTCTCTCACTCACTCACTCTATTTCTCTTTTACATACATCGATAATTATTAAACATTCATGTACATTAGTGTACACTTATTGCTCATTTTAATATAATATTATTTGAATAAAGGCATTATGAAAGCAGTTTGATGAATAAAACGCTTTATATGTATGCGTTTATAAGTGAAAAAATCTGAACTGGAAATCTATAATTAAAAAAATCTGAAGTGATCGGTCTCCATGCGATGATCCCTTTTCAAGATTCGATCTTCAGATTATCAATCAATTTTATTTGGACTGGTGCAATAAAAAAATCGCGCTGGCACTACGTCGTAAAAGTATTGTTAGATTTTGCGGTTTTAGTTTTTAAGTAATTTTCAATCAAAAGTTTATCGATGTTAAAACTCGGGAAAATGTGATAACGAATTTATATCGTAGTGGCACGAATATATAATACGCTACCGCGTCACTTGATTTTCCAATTTTGTTTTCAATCCTGTTTGCATCTTATATGAGACATAACTATATATATGAGAACTATAAAAAATTGCAGTTGTAATGTAACTGTACTTCGAATTTTAAAAAGATATACTTTAGACGAATGAAAGCTATATTTGAATTGTTAATATAATAAGGTAGGAGAGTGAATTCTGTTACATTGACAAATATATATATTAAAAAAAAAAATTGCTTCGATTTTTAATCGTTTAACATAAGACGATGGAATTTTCTGACACGAATTTCTACTCGCGTCTGAGATAATATATTCATCGAACGTTCACTGCTTGTTGAATGTACATGTTGTCAAATGTATCTATGAAGATATCTTATCAAATATTTAATTAAATTTCAAAGCAGTATAATTTCAAAGATTTCATTGATATTCGATAGTTCTCAGACTTAGGACGAGTAAAGGGTGCGTTAAAGATAAAAACGATACATGCGATAAGCTATGCGCTTAACTCAAATGTAATAAATATTTTTGCGATAGTTCTGGGCGTTTAGGGGAAATAGTGTCGATTATCGCGAATTTGTGTTGCAACCTCGAGCATGCTATCAATCAACTCCCATGCTTCGTATGTTTGTTCAGGCAAGGATAGCAGCAATACAGAGAGGCGGAGCTTAGGATAGTGTCCTCTAGACAATTGCCTCTAGGCAATTTTGTCATAACGTATCTATCTCGTGTACGAACTCGCAGATTAAAAACAATAAACTACGCGGAAACCGTATATGGAGAGCAATCCTGGACAACTGGCCGAAGGGCAATTATGTTATATCTTTCTCGTCTCTCCGCAGTTTCCACACGAGTTATCCATTTTTTTTTTATCTGCACGAACTCTATACGAGACAGATACGTCCATCGTGACAAAATTTAGCTATAAATACGTGTATATATTATTATGCGTTATATTTATTTAGTAAGTAAAAATTCAATATTATTTGAACTATGATCATGGCACATGTATATATGTACAAAATCTCACATAAGATTATAAATTTTATGCTAAAAGTATTGTCACGGGAAAAATGTTATAAATTGCTTGTCAAAGAGCTCAGTAAAGAATTTCATTAATTGTCAAGAAATAAAGAGAACTTGATCTATTTACATTGATAAATAATTAAATATTAAGGTAATTACCGTAATTAGTCTTAATCTACATTTATTATTGTAACAGAATTATTTATGTACATTATTCATTTACGAATTCAAATAGCTGTTTATTCGCTTGGTTGTCACTTGTCTAAGTATCTCTTTAACAAATTAAATCAATATTATCTGTTGGTTCATTGAACCGAAAGCGTAGCGTTTCCGTGAACTCCGTGTATAATTAACGCGATTATTATATACGCATAAATACATCAAGGTCGGATAACTGCTAATAAATCGATTCTTTGTGCTCATTATCATTATTATATGTAATTAACGTCAATGTATTTATCACCGTTTACATCCCAACGGTTTCTGCTAACAGTTTTCTCTAATAATAGATATAACAAACGATTATTTGCGTTTAGACTTTTTACATTTCCACATCGCGATGTAAAAATGAACGTATCTCGTACTAAGATATACAATAGGGAAAGATGTCAAATCATGAAGTTTAAGATTTTTTTCGATTTTTACATTCATTACATTGTTACATCTATTGTACATATATTTGAAGAAATTATCATTCTATCATAATTATAATATAGTCAAAATGTAATATGATATAATTTATATAAAATAATTAAATATTTATATAATAATATAATATTCATACGTTTATTATTGATCAAAAATCTTCTCGATTTTTATTTGTGCAATATTTATTTGTTATAAGTCGCTTTGATATGTATAAAGATTCTGAATGCACTTGCTAAAACAAAGAATAATATACATGTCTCTTAATATATTTTATTCATTGTACGTGATAATTAATATGTCTTAATATGTCTTTTCATGCTTCCTAATTCCTTCTCATGCCTTCTTCGATATTCGTGCAACTTGGGGTGGCATTAATGTGTATATTTTAGTTTACCTGAATACTCAATCCTTCAATCCTTTTATCACTATGACGCGGCGACTACGCAGAGATGACTATATATTAGGTGTAGTAAAAAGAAATCCATTATTTTTCCATTCAATTTCATGCAAAAATAATGGATTTCTTTTTACTACATCTAATATACATCTAATATATCCCAATGAGAAATGACAATGGAATTGGCATCGATATTGATTCGTCGAATTATCAATGGAAATGTCAAACTGACATCGATTCCATTGTCCATTTCTTATTGGGATAATCGCTCACTATAAAATTCCGTACATTTGTTTTGAACTTGCAAAATACAGCTCTGTCTATATTTTGTTTATGCTCTGATTCTATGTTTATGCCAATATTGCTCAATATTGCTTTATTTCATTTCGTGTCTCGATATGTTTTTTTTTTGCGCTGTCCGAACGCTAAAACTACCCGCGCGCAAAATACATATATCATTATGTATGATATTTCCCGATGTTAATATATGTTAGCCGTATCGTTTGGAGACGCCTTTGTATAGCGAGAACATTTCAGGGGAGAAGAATCATTGTAGCGAAAGAGGTTAATAGCTTTCCAATTAATAATGAGATAAATACTGCTTTGTATTTGAGTTAAATTTCTGATAAAATATAATCAGTTTTTACTAATTAATTTACACATATATTGTTACACTGTCTCCGAAATTTCCACATACAGAGACTGCATCGTATATGTACATTAATTGGCATTAATGTGTATATCGATGTACATACACAGTTTACAATCCTGAATACTCGACTCCTCAACCCTTTCGTTACGACGCGCCGCGGCGACGATATATAGTCGTTCACAAAATTCCGTACATTTATACTGGATTTGCAAAACACAGCTCTGTTTATATTTTGTTCATGGTCAGCTATTACATCAATGTTATTGATACGTTTCAATATTGATTTCTCAATACGTTTTTTTTTTTGCGCTGCTCGAACGCTATTATATTGCCTGTGTGCAATGTGCCAAGTAGAACAAGTCCTTATGATATCAAAATAATGTCAAAATAATTCCATTAAAAGCCATTTTTCAATCATTTCCTTTTTATTTTAATGTCATTTTGACGTTATCGTGACTTATTGTTTTGCTTTCTGGCGTCGTCTGGTAGGCACTTACAAATAAACGATATGATCAATTTACGCGATACCTTTGTACACATTTGCTAAATATTGATTTACAATACAAATATTGGTTTATATTTGGATAATGATGTGTATCATGTACGTGTATAATATTTGCTAATTAACGTATGTTGGCCATATCGTTTGGAGATGTATGTAGCGTTCCAAGGGAAAAAAATCATTGTAAGGGAGTTTAACAAGTATCCAGCCTTTTCCAATTAGCCATGAGATAAACACTCTGCTTTGAGTTTGACTGCTAATAAAACACAATGAATCAGATTAATTACGTATTGTTACAATATCTCCGATATTTACAAATTACGGAGACTGCATCATATATATATATATTACTTAACTTGTTCCATGGCGTCTTATATCTATAACAGTCGAAATCAAACACAATAAAGAGAGATGTTTAGAACGTCATATTCAATTTTTAGTAAGAAAAATGTAATATTTGATATCTTTTTTATAGCATATATTTTTTTTTTTTTTAAAAAAAGCTTTTTTTAAAGTAATGTATTATCAATACATTAAATTTTTCAGCATAAAAGGGCAAAATAAAAGTATTCTCAAAAAAAACGCGGATATAAAAGTTTAAGTTTACTCGACATTTGCCATTTTTCGTTTGCCATTCCAATCTAGCTTTTATTTCAAATAACAGAATAGAAATAACAGAAGTCATAATAATATCATTAGAACATCTCATCGTATTCATTTTTAAGTATCAAATGATGTGATGACGACATTCTGTGATATCATTATGATTTAATTATGACTCTGTGTTCTATCTGGGATTCGGTCTTGCTTCACAGGCACCAGCACCGGTGTACCAGGCCCAACCCGCAGCAACAAAAGCTCCAGCGACAGGCAATATGCGAGGAGATTTGAAGTGGCCGCCGGCGTCCGTGAAGGCCCAATTCGAGGCGGAGAACCGTGCCAGGATAGAGCTCGCAAAGGGCCCTGCTTTTAGGCCTCGTCGAGTGCACAAGGACTATAGCGGTTTCTTCGCGCAACACGCCCTGAACAGCAGCTATCCGGGCTACCGAGCACCTCCTGGCACCCAGTACTTCACCCCGGCTTATCAACAGTAGCGAATATTTCGTTTCCGAGAGCAACGCATTCGAGCACGAGGCATCGTCCCGAGTTTCTCATCGATTGGGATGCTCAGGACGCTGTTTGCGGATCTTGCAAGATTCGCAAGAACCAGAGAAACGCATGAGAGCCGATTTCTTTATGAATAAAACAATCACGACTATAAAAAAAAATTCGATGCAGAATTTCATCTTTTTTTTGCAACATGATTTCTTCTTTCCTTCATTCATGCATATCTGCACACGAATTGTAGCTCTTTCAGAATGTGATTCAGTTAATTGAAGAGAAATTCCACATACGTTTCTCGGGTTTTTAGAGATTTTCGATCTGGATTTCTCGAGCTTCAACGAACCTGTATATACAGAGACTGAACGATTACCTTTCATCTTTGCAGGGTAGCGTAAATTAATAACAATTATCGAAAATCTGGCTCATTTACAGCATTCGGTTTATTATTCGAGCATCGTCGTTCGGAGTTCCCACACTTGTGAGCGTCGCATTCTTTTTTTTTTAATCTAAATTCTTAAGTATGTTTACATTTGTAATGAAACAATAGGATAAAGATACAATAGCTTATTTATTTATTTAAAAAATTATTTTATTTCTTCGCGCCAAAAATTGCTTTTTTTTCTCTAATCTAGAAATTCTTATTTGTACGAAGACATCCCCTGGTTTGGGAATTTCTGATCTAGGTGGACTCAATGTTGTGATAGAATTAACGCTGCGAACAGATTTTACAGGTTTACAAGACTAACGCTTGCCATACGAATCACAAGAATGGCGGATCACAAGCGATTGCTTAAGGGAGAATAATAATGTGGCAGCAGATTGTGCTTTTTACTGCGAAAAACCACGACGATTTGAGAAAGCATCGAACATCGATGAATACAGATAAAAATCTGCGAAATAATCGAGTCATAAAATCGGACTGGTTCGCTTTGGCGCTCACTTTAAGCGTCGTTTCATCCTTGTTGATTATTAAATATTAAACAAGGACAATTGATGTTCACAGGCTATAAGCGCCAAAGCGAAACGCAGCCTCGGAATACAAAATAATGTATTCGAGAAGAAAGTGATATTATCGAATCATTGTGAAATGTGACGCGTTAGATAATGCGACTTGGCGACGATCTGCCCGTTAACTAACTAACGAATAATTTTTAATAATGTAACATATCGATGTGAATAAATAAATATTACAATTTATGCTAGACAATATACCAGTAATTATTATTACAAACTACACTTAAAAATGTAACATGATGTATATATACATATTTAAATTTTATAATGAAATGTGAGATATAAGAGGTAGATAACAATCTTTATTTTTTTCGTTTGCTTTCCAGATAATACAAGACACATATCTAAATAACAATTTACAAAATTTTTTCTATACCACATTTCGTAAAAGAATGTGGCTCGAAAGTGCAATTCGAGTCGTCTAAATCATTTTCGTCAAAAAAGTGCGTGGTAATAAAACCTAAAATATTTGATTATTATTAAAAAATGTTTTTTTTACCGCTAATGTTGTCATGTGAAGTTACTATGCTAGCTTGATATATATATATACATATATGTGTGTATATATATGTGTGTGTGTGTGTGTATATATATATATATA